TGATATAAGGGAACTACAGCATAAGCCAACAATCATTAAAAACATTATTCGGCATCGAACGCATCTTTGTTCTACAACTCATTTGCGTGATTCGAGCAAACAACTAGTAAATATGCCACACTTTCCAACTGAACGTTTGGTATTTATCAATTCATCAGACAAATGCAGCATTTGCACGAATCGACATGATACAATACACGAGAATTAGGTACAAATTTTCCAAAAGGAAGCAGATATGAAGCAGACAGATCAAAATATGCCATTACTTTTGATCACCATCAAATTTGGATGCTTCGAAAAACAAGTTCAAAGCGTAAAAAATTCAATGCGTCTTTAGAAATCGAAACAATCAAATATCGAACAACTGAAAAGAACTGGATGTGGCTAACGACTACCATATAGAATACTTCACAACATCTAAAACTCCATCTACGATTGGCAATTAATGAAGTAAACAAAAACATCATAAGTCGAGAAAATCGTAGATAACTAAAAAAGGATGCGGCAAATATTTTAAGCCGAATCATCCAATAATTCCAAATTTGATGATCACATTTGCTGAATTCACCATTGCTGAATTCACATAATGCACCAATTCGGCGATTCACAACACAATCAAAATATTTCAAAAATTATTTCGGTGGCTCTCGTGAACCCCACATTACAACATTACAAAATCTGTTCATCGAACATGTGCCGCTAAACTATTTCATGTTCGAAGACGGCATGCGACATCGTTGTTCTGGATGAAGGGAGATTATTTACAATAATATCATTTATATAATCATTCCTTTCAGTTTTTTGAATATCGATTTGCAACACTGATTTGCTTTAGTTCTTCGTCTTCAGTTTCATTTTCTTCAACTGTAGCATCTGATAAAATGGATCATAATTTATTGAACGCCTGAAATGAAATTGGAACGGAATCATTCATGAATCTAACAAATTTCTATCACAGGTAGACAAAAATTTTCAAGAAATGAATATTGCTGCCCTGATTAAGCACCAAAATACTCAAAAAGTTGTTGAGAGAAAGCAGACGATAAATGAAATGATATCCGAATCTATCACTTCTTCAACAGACATTGCGAACTGAAAAGTAAGCTCACTCAATTGCGTTGATCCATTGATTCATTTCGTCGGCCGAAAATGCACACATCTTATACGAAGTATGCCTTCCAACCACCACTCTTCCATCTGGTTCGGTTTTGCAAGCTTTTATCACCTACGTCAAAAAGAGGTCGTTAGCAAAAATCACTAAATGGGGAAGTGTCCATTCATTTATGAATTCTTAAAGCGTTCAGCATCGAGCAAAACTCAGCCAGTGAGATAGATTAGATAGACGTTGAATGGCTCAGTAATCAATTCTGAATTGACGACTCCAAACCAAGTAATGAATGAGCTTAAAATAACTTTGTAAATATGACAGTGACTGTTCTTTTTTGGAGTGAATGTCGTATGACAAAAGCATACGAATAGTCATTGACACATACGACTAGACGATCAGATGACACAAAATATAAACGAAAAAATCAGAAACGATTAATGACAACCTCAGTGCTATCGCTGTATATTTCGAAGCAGTGTGGTCGGCCCTTCTCTTCAATGGGTCGCACACGAACGTTTTCGAGAGGAATTATACCACGTGGTTCTTTCGCCTGAAAACAAAACGCTTACAAAAAAATAATCACTAACAGGCAAAATAAACATTAAACCACTTTTATCCTATCACTCAAACACGCTTCTGCACAATAAATGGGAAAAATAAACGTAATTCAATCAGGTATTCATTTCGTTTGTGCTAATATGATGAAGTGGACAAATAACCGAAAAAAACAAATGAAACAGACTGAATAAGAGACTTACAGTTGTGTGCTCGAAATAATATAGGCACTTTTCGGCAAGAATGAACCACCTTCTTTTCCATGATTTCAAAAACGTTCGCGAACTGGCCAGTTGTGAGGACGCTGAATAGTGAACTTCAGAAAGAAACACTAAGCTTGAACTTATTCAAGTGTATGTATAAAAAATATGAGCAAATTTTGATAAGGGAAACCATCTATAAAGTCATTTCACCAGATAATCTCGCGATTCCCGGAGGAGAAATCGATTATGAGTAGAAAAAATGAATTGACTGATACTCCGCAGAATTTTCAAGAACATTTGACATTTCTATCCGAAGCCCTCGTTTCACAGTTCCAAAATGTACATACGCCAAAATCATAGCAACAATAAGCATCCGATCAAACTGACTATCAATCAATGGTGAGATTTTTTCGCTTTCTTTTTCTCATTTTCGCATCAAAACTGTGATCTCGTGCACCATTCACTCAGAATGAGCCCCACGGTCATTAGAAAATGTACTAACCTTGCTTGAGCAACCATCCTTCACGATCTGGATTGAAGAATGTATTATAGAAATCACTACCATCATCAGTTGGGAATTGGAAAGGTTCGGTTCGTATCGACTCATAAATACTCTGAAACAACGAACAAATCACTGCAATAAATCAGCATTATTAGTAAAATCGATGAATTGAACATTCGAAAAAATCTTTGAGTTATTATAAAAATAATAATGTCACAAGAATATAAAATCGAGCGACTGACCGAATTCAATAATCACAAATCGTTGCTAAAAATGGTCATTCACACGATGTAATGTGGCCATTTTAACCCCGGCACAGATTTGGTAGCGGCATTATAAAGTATACATAGGCAAACATATTCACAAAACTTGCAAGGCAGCAAATTTTTTGAATAATTTCAAAATTTCTAGGCCATTTTGAAACCTTACATGACGTTGGCGTATTCGAAAAGAAAAAAACCATACACTTATTCAACTGCTTAAAATCACAAAATTAACCTCTAACAATTCCTTTGGCACATCCTTTCCTTCATCAATACCGCGATACATCGATATGAAGCCGTCAAGAGTTAGCGGATTTTTGACATTTCGATTATGCAACGACGTATTAAGCATAACTATCGCAAAGCACAAAATATAACAGGTATCTGGAATCGTTTTTATTAAATATAAATATTATCTGGAAAACCATTAATAACGGCTACATGGATTGTAAAGACAATCGTATGAATATGATTCATTACCACTATGAGTCTAACTAAAACATTATTGTTTCTGCTTACTCTTAAATGAACTTCACAGGAAAAATTCAATTAATCGCATGGAATCAAATAAGATAAGTTCCAAAGCTCAGTGCACCATCGTTTGATCTGTTCTACAAAAAATCAAAGTGGACAAAATAAATCATTTCCAAAGGAATCACCTGTACTTGAGAAAACCCCAGGATTATTTGCACAATAACGTTTGGCGAAAGCATTCACCATTCGATCGATTTTTTGTGATTCCCCTGGCAAACGGAACGACCAAAGAAATTGTCGCAGAGCTTGCACCAATATGAGATCAGTAAAGTCATGCAATTCACAGAATTTCTCTAACACATCCAAATTGAACGATTCATTTTCACCCAGATAGTCACCAACCGCACTCTTTCGTAATCCTACAAGTTGCTGTTCCATAACACTTGAGACTTGAGGCATTTATTGTAACACATCAAATATTATTTCCCTCATTCTGAATGTTACACTTAGATCGTTAAAATTTAAGCAATATAAGTAATGCAACACATTCGCTAACTAAACAGGATTGCTATGCGTAAAGCTAGCGAAGACACTGGATTGAATTTGGTAAGTAGAGCAAATAAGTAATATACTTTTTAATATGCCCGACACACAATTTATCTAACAAAGTCACATAACGATCGGAGTTTATCATTTGTGATAATGTCCAACTATATGACCGAAGTGTCAAACTGTTCTATAACGATCCACTGCTGAGGTAGGATTTTCAGATTAAAGAATGAATCGATCCAAAAGATAACGAACAGAATTATCGCATGAAAAAAGCGAAGGAGTAAAAAGACGACATGAGATACAGGACAAATAGACAATAATAAAAAAGTAATAATAAAAAAGGAACCAACATGGAAAAGAAAACAAAGCATAAATTGTGATACCTTCACCACGAAAAAGAAATTCAGCAACTGATTCAGCAGTATTCTGCACAAGGCCATGGTCCAAAATATATTCCATGCCCTTTCGTGGATCCATATTGAAATTCTTCCGAGCAATCGTCATGAGTCGCCCATTTGGATTACATCTTCAAAAAATACTCTAACTTTCAACACACCCAAATCGACTTGACTCAATATTCTGTGCAAATATATAAATGAAACCATTCATATTCACAGAACTACTTCCTCAACAATTAAGCAATCGAATGTGAAAAATTAGATCGTATTTTATGCGAATATAAGATGTTTGGAAAATTCAGTAAGTTTATCACTAACTCTTCGTCGGGAATATCGATTGTTGACAATTGTGAATTGATCTCATCAAGTTCGGAACGAATCTCCTGAACACATTGACTTTTTTGCAATTTCATCAAACATTACTGATCTCATCAAAATTCTGACAATTCAGAAATAAAACATCAACATATATCTAATATTCTGCAACCGATTTTTCACCAAATCAAGAAAACAGATACTTATTACATCTACGAGACGAGCATATGCTGCCGTAAGATGTGACATGCAACGAATCAAAAGAAACAATTTTATTTGTGGTCATCGGGAATAATCAAAAAACCACCTCAACATCCTCATTGATACTCGAACGTCTCGCACGCAAAAAAGCCAAATCTTCCAACTCAGCTGGAGTGAGATCAGCGCTATTGAAATACGCCATCAACTCGGCAGCCCCGATCGTATTCCAACGCTAAATTCACACTCCAGCCACTCTCTCACAACCTTACTGAGTTCTAACTGCACCTCAAATTTAATCGATGATCAGCCATAAAAAAAGAACTGTGAGCAAATTCAAACAGGTTGAATAGAATCGAATGAGATCGTCATCAAAAATAAGCCATAAAACGCTCATGCTAAAACTGAACTTCAAACGTTTTTATCTCAACGCTCGTTCGAAGTGTTAAGTTGACAAAATTAAAAAAAGAATTATGATAATTCAATAAGAAAAGCGTAAATTACGCAGAACGTTTTCAAATAAAAACCATCTGAATGCATATGAAAACAGTTTATCACACAAACTTAAGCCAAAAAACTTGAAATGAAGGCATACACAGTAAAGGCTACACGAAAAGATGAAGATAAGGCAAAGTAAAAAAAAGTATCACCAGTCAGGACCAGAATATTATGCTCATAGACAGATAGATCATTAAATTAGTGCTAGTTATCACAGCCACAAAATACCATACAGAGAAAAATGCGCGGAAAACTTGAAAAATATATTGCAGATTGAAAATTTTAACAGAATAAAATCCACTGTCAAAGATTTGTGCAGGTGCAAAAGCTAATGAGTTCAACCTGGCAGTAAATGGCAACATATAATTTCAACAAAACTGAAAACCGATCTGCCAAATATTCGGCTGAAATGCTGAAATATACCATTCTTTTGTTTTTTCATCTTTAGAGTAAACTGAACTTTGCGAACCACATCCTCAAAAAATTCTACTTGCAAAAATCATCTGCACCTCTACCGAAAATTGGAAAAAAAAACATCACTACATAGATGATTGATTCTATAGTAAACAGAGTTTTCTTTCATTAGATTCAGATGCATTAAATCATAGCATATATTTGAACCTATTCATTAGGCTAAAGGCATTGCACCGTAACATAAGCCAAAAATAAACTCATGGTAGAGACCTCAAGAACTGAATAAGATTGGAGAGTCGGCAAAAAAGCATGAAATAATTACGATCAACGAAAAAATCCTGAAGGGAATAAAACATTCAGAATAACAACGCTTTCTTCAGTAAATATTCCTAATCTGATGGAAAAAACTGCAATTCAACAGATGTATTCACAAGCTCCACTGCACTCGAACGTAAACACTGCATACTATCGGCAGGTGAAATGACCGATGAAAGACGTTTAATGCAAAATAGTATCAGTGTAAACTAAACTGATTTTTGATGAATGCGATTATATATGACACTTTCTTAGAATGTTATTGAGAAACGTTCTCTTTATTTGCGTCATTTGTGAGTGGAAATGATTAGATCGTCACAGACATCATACAGTCACAAGTTTTTAATCGCCATAATTTTAACGAGAAAAATGCTTTCTTCCAAAAAATACTCAGTATTCGGTAATTCCTTCGGCAATTGATTCAATACAAAATTTTTTTCCAGTTTTACGTTTTTAACGTCTTTCACGATCATTGCACCGATTTGACTTATGGTCTACAATAATATTAGCGAATGACAGTTGGGATATTTAAATTAAATTTAAAGTCATATAAATTCAAACTGCAAAAGCATCTGATCCAATTAGATGAAAATATGACTCGAACATTTTCAGACGGAATGAAATTCAGATATTTTCAAGCACATCACCAACAATCTTTTGTACGGTTTCTTCAACACTGCTATCAAACTGGATTGCATCTGCGTCACTGATACAAATTTTGGGTGGACATCGATTTGCTGACATACCTTCAAGGATGGAACCGATCAATAACCTCTGATTCAGTAATAATTGAGTACAACAGCAATGCACAACTTTTCGAGTTGGATAAATGCGTACGTATAATGTTTATCAATGAATAAAATACCTGAGTTGAATATGGCTAAAATTTGATGTTCTTCTCTCAAAAAGGATTAAAGTACAACAGTAAATAAAGCAGGTCATCTTTTTCACGAAATCTCAACTGCAGCAAGCCGTTTTTAAACATCTTGAAGTCATACATGACATGAAGTTTCATTCAGAACTTTTATTGTCATCACACGAAGTGATATTATCCAAAAATTAACTATCCCCTTTATACAGGTATGACAAGTTGTGAAATTGCTCTTCTAGGAGCCATTATAAGAACAAAGAACAACCTGAAGCACTGTCGTCTTTCGTTTCTTCCTGACTTCGAGTGGGTGGTTTTACAGAAACAGATGGTGCTGTGGTTAGATGATATATATCACTGCAAAAAACTGCTGAATTAATTCCACGGTAAGGAATCAGCTAAAGGCGACAAATGTTGAAACGATATTGTGATCAGTTTTTTGTTCACTCAACCACAACAATGCGCACAAAAAGAAGTTCAAAAGGAAAATTAGATACAAATGCCATTGAAATTGGTATGAATAAGCTGTAGGCAAGCACCTGAGTGCCTAAGCCTTCCCTGTTGTTGTGGAACAAAGACTTGAACATGGACAACAGCAATCAATTAAAAACGAGCCTGTTGACTGGTAGTTGCTGCAAAGGGTGATCAAGTTGCGGAAGTGTATCTTGCACTGGATCATCCTTTCGATTAGACTCTCCTTGTACTTCCTTTTGTGCTCGAAGCGAAATATTGACCAATTCAATGCGCTCACGAACATCCTGCATAATTTTTCATTTTGTTTCTATCACGATACAATCAGTGCAAATGAAATGACGAAAGAGTTACGATCGAAAAAAACGTAATGCAAAAATAAAATCAAATGATATGTCGGGATTTCTCCTTACGTAAACGCATGGTAACTTCATTAGTACAAACTGAGCAAGAACCAAATATAAAAAAGATAACGAGCATTATTCAGCAAAAGCAACGAAAGCTTCAATCAAAAGCTTCAATCGACTTCAATCAAAATGTTTAATTTTTAATATCAATATTGAAAGTCTTTCTTTTAGGACAATCTGTACGTATTTCTGCCCGAATGCGGCATAAGAGAGTTCATAATGACCAGTCATACCAACCTCGAGTTCAGCGATTGATAAATATGGTTCAATGATCGATAAAACTTGTTCACTAATAGTAGCGATCTCTTCGTCATTTGCTGTTAAAATCAAGTCACGAACATCAAATCCGCTTTGAACACCAATTTCATCATCCAACCAAAACCCATTTTCATTTCGAATCGAGAATTGTGGTCGGAGTGTACGCATGAAATTCTCACTTGCAGTGGACAACTGCTTGCTGAGTTGTTGTTGATTACTTGGGATGCATTTCGTTTTAAGATCGCATAAACGCTGTTCTAATTGTACAACTTCACCTGTAATCGAACATGCACCGATAACTGCTAATTTATTCACTGGCAATTCATATAAATCAACACTTTTTGCCTGAATACGGACTCTGGTATCTCTTCTTTTATTTCGTAAATTTTAGCCAGTTTTTCAAAGCATCATGGGTTTTTTAGAACATTCCAATCCAACACCGTATCAAAAGACGAAGTGGTGAACGTTTCATCCAATTTACATGGAATATGAAAAAAAAAACAATTCAAAACTAATCACATAACTGCAACTAACCAGGTGAAAGGCAACTATAGAAGGATTCGATGAAGAGGACGGGTAATAACTGCAATTCAGAATCTGATATGCTCAGAATGTAGGCACGTTTTCTTAGGCATTCATCCATAGCACCCTGTGTGTCGACACGTTCCATTCCATTCAACGCAGCTTTGTGTTGATCCAACGATCCGGAATTTATTTGTGGTGCCTGGAACAATGATGGTTTTCATCACTGGGCTCATCATGATCAAGGCGATGAATTCAATAAAAACGATAAACATTTAGCAATTATACCCCAAGTATGCGATGACAATATCTGCTACAAAATCAGTTATTTCAGATAACAGAGGTTTGCCTTACTGGAATTTTGGACAAGCATGTTTCATGTCCTGAAATCTTTGTCACAAAGAAGAAATCCGTACTTTGAACTAGCAATGCACTGAGATTGGTTTGTTATAAGCTGGTAGAAAGAACTGCTCAAAGAATCTTATTACAAGTAACCTTTTCTGACTGTCTAGCACTCTCTGAAGATGAACATTTGTCGACGAATGGATTAGCTGGTTGTGAAGTTTGATTGGTTGAAGTACCAGTGGCAGTAAGAGTTGTCATATCAGGTAGAGGTTCAATCACAACTGGATCATCTCGAGGTGGTTCAAAAGGCACTGATGAGTTCGGTGAAGCATCTGATTCGTTACCACAACAACAAAACATCCTAAATTGAAAACATGAACAACTAAACAGAAAGTAATGTTGGTTGAAAATAACAGATCATGTTTCCTTCCAAACTGTTTCCTTGCATGCAGCGAATAATTTCAATCGTTGGTTCGACCCACATCTGCCGAACACTGCCCAATCATGGCTATAAAGCACACAAATCGGCGTACGTCCCGCAAATCTACGGTTGGGGTAACACAAGCCAAAAAGCATCATCGTACGCGTGCGCGTCCCAACGTTGACAGATGAGAGAACGAGAGGAAAACGCTTTGTAAATGCGCATGAAATGAATTGACTGAATGCAGCGGTGAAAACTGGAAAGGAGAAAGAGGCATAGCCCAACCTTCGTAACTGTTTCAACATTCCATCCTTCATAAACTCACAAATATTCAGAAAAAATAAACGTTTACTTTTCGAAAATTTAACTTGAAATGAATCCTAAATATGCGAAATATTGCCCTGGTGAGCGATTGAAATGGAAAAAGTGTCAGAACAGAGATTCCATCGACCAATGTCAAATAGTCTATTGCAAAGAGAATTCAATTCTACACAAACCAGCAAACTTTCAGCGAAATTAAACGTTCACGTTGTGGTCGCAAGTCTCTTTCTGTTGCTTCAGGCTAATACCTCTCACTTAGTTTCTGTTGTTGATGCGGTTGTCATCGTTCCAGTAAGAAAAATTTCCGTCTCTTTCCTCGGTGCAACTTCTATATCATCCCACTTTAAATGCCCACATTTCTGAAGTACAGTTAATTTGACGGTGCGATGCATGGGAATGTCATTCAATCTTTCAAAAATTTATGTGATTTAATATCAATAAATGAATGGAGATTCATTTTCGACTGGATAGAAAAACGATCTAAACAGATGGGTGGAAAAAATTCAACCCAATAGAATCTGTTCTGTTACGTTGACCATCACAATAGAGCCACGACGGAACTGCTGTTAGCGACGAACTTAGCGAGTCGCGCGACGCATGGGCTACGGTGATTTTTTCTGTGACATATTGTAGCATGTAATTAAACCTATATCTGCCAGCCATTTGGTCAGCTAGTTTCTCCCTACACCTTCTTCACATGTTCGTAGCGTGAAGCAAAGACTACATAACGTAGGCCTCGAACACTATTGTCGTGGGCGAAATGGTGAATGCTTTGCTTATTAAATTATCACAAATCCATTTAAGGGGCATAAAATCACTCTTTGTGATCAATCGGGTACCGCTGTTGAGTTTCCAAGCTGGAATCGAGCCCGCAAATGTTACAGTGCCAAACGCAGACGATCAGCGGGTTCGGTTACCGATCCCTTCGACACGGTTCACTCGTATCGCTTCACTCTGCGAGGAAATGTAGACAAATCGGATGAGAGGTATGTGTCAATAGAAAATACGTTTAATTTTCCATTTAATCATATCAGCCGTGTATAGCCGGAAGTGCATGATATCTGTATGCGCCTACATATGTTCCGAACTTCGAAAGTAAATATCTCAGCTTGCGCTTGTTCTGTGCTTCAAGCGGTCTAGTCAAAATGACCTTCTAGGTGGCTCCTGTTGCAAGATCGTAGACATGGGGTGTTAGTCTTCGCAAGTGACGTCGAACTGCGTGTAGCAGCTCGTTCGGCTATTTTAGTAGCTGACGCAACTTTCAGCAGTGCACCGCGCAACTTCAGTCAGGTATTCACTGTCCACTGCATGGTAAAGTTCCTGTGTCGATTTCGAAACCGTACCACTACATTTAGGCTGGCAGGTCGCTATGGTGAGCCAGTCGTGCATAATACACACCACAGTTTATTTTGCAGATTGCCAATGATACAGGTTATGAGTGAATGCCTGTTATCCACACCGTCATGCAGAACAAAAAGACCGAGTCTTATAACGCGATTTTTGCTGCTATGCAACGGCGCTGGACGTACATAGGAGTTATGTTTGCGTTAAAAAAATCTTAACAGATTTTGAAGACTCGCACATGGAGTCCGTCGCGGAGATGTTTGGCACCGGTGTAGTAAAAGGATGTTTATTCCACTTTACGCAGGCAGTAATAAGGAACGTAAGAAAGCACGTCTTGATGATAAGAAGGCGTCATTCGCAACTATACAATCAATGAAATCACTGATCATAGCTGATGCTGAATAACAGGATGACGTCGGTAGTTCGCAGACCGGATTCGATGGTGACGACTGCTTCTTCGAATTGGGAGGTTAATCTCCCTGAATATATTGTGAGGCAGAGCCTCTCTGAGTTGCACTGGATTTCACATGGGGTTCTCCGATGATGTCAATCTCGTCGGTCGATATGGCGATTAACTTCCTCGGTCGATATGGCGACTAACTTCCTCGTTACGGTTGCCTGTATTGGTTTTACGTTGAGTGCGGCTTTTTCAGGATGCTTCCATAGTGGGATGAACACTGTTTTGACAACATTCTAAATTACCATGGTGCACCATCATAACAACGTATAGCGAAACTGATGATGGTACCATGCATGAAAAATTCATTTATTCATGCTTTATGTTTATAAATGTTAATAATAATACCTTTATGTTAATAATAATAACAACATGTTAATAAATAATACCTCGTTCAAAGCTTGCCTTCGTCCGCATAGCATACAAATTGCTCGAAACCATTGAAAATGGGCAGTGGTAACATTCACTTGTAATCGATCGGGGTTGCATGGAACCTCAGTATTCCCAGATAATCGAAATCAATTACGTTTCACTTTAATTTCAATCAGTTCACTGCAAACACGAACCTTCAATCTGAATATCTCGGCCAGTAAGATGGTTGCAGTCATCCTCGGTAGTGTGATCATGATAGCCACAGCCACAATCAACGTCATCTACCATAACTCTCTAGGTACCCAGCATATGTTCTTTCTCCCACCATGATTCAATCCAGGAAGACCACGATGAGTATTACCGCACACCTTTCCTTCCCCGTTGCAACGGTGCACCGTTTCAATCGCTCACTAAAGCAATATTTTGCATATTGAGGATTCATTTCAAGTTACTATTTCAGAAACTAAACGTTTAATTTTCCTGAAAATTTGTTGGTTTGTAGCGAATTGAATTCTTTTCCCAACAGATTATTTGGTTTTGGCCGATGGAACTTCTGTTCCAACACTTTTTCCATTGCAATCGCTCGCTAGAGCAATATTTTGCATATTGAGGATTCATTTAAAGTTAAAATTTCTAAAACGAAACGTTTAATTTCGCTGAAAGTTTGTTGATTTGTAGGGAATTGAATTCTCTTTCCTCAGGCATACGTTCAGATCATGTATAGCCTTGAAATATGTCAAATTCCTGCACCTTATGGGTAAATTAATCGCCTTGCATGAGCTCTTTTTCTCTATGCTCTGTCTAACCGCGTCGCTTCGAAACTACTTGGCTACTGTTATCAAAGCCAAATCTATTGGGGAATTCAATCGTCAACGTTATACGGCGATTTAACGCTATGCAAAAGAGCACATTAAAATTAAATGCGGCATTGCGAATATGGCGCATTACCAGCGCATATTACAGCACCACATTTGTCGATGCTCGGATATGAAATCAATGTGGCTGTCACTAATATTCAGCTGGGCTAGCATATGGTTTTGCTTTGCTTTTGTGAATGGTAGTACGACGGCAGTGGCAGCAGTTTGAACATGTTTCATGTAAGTGAAAAACCTTCTGACGTAACAGAGGAGAAAATTTTTGGGAAATGAAAATTATCGACAAGCATGAATTCAGTCTAAATTCTGGTTGCTTTGGAGGTTTTTGGAAATAATTTTCATAAATCCGTACAGCTGAATTTTTCACTGATTTGATCAACAAATGGTCCTTCCATTCCATGAAAAATGACATTTAAGCAATGGTTTCAAACTGGACCAGTGTCACCGCAACGCTCTCACAATCGGAAATGATGGATTGTGAGCTGCGTATGACATAAAATTCAGTTCTTTCACGAATCAGTTCTTCGCGATCGGTGCTTCCACCCTCAGTTCATTCAAACTCTAACGCTATTTGTGCAAGTGAGATATGTTGAATGTTTCATAAATATTCCATAAATCGGTAATATTATGATCTCGGTAATATCCTGAATCGGTAATATCCGATCCTGTCAACATTAACCCTCGCATGACTGAAATTTTTTGTACCATCAGAGCCGCTTTACGCCTTTAATTATGTACTTGTAATACGAGGATTTTTAATGGAATTTTCAACAGATGCTAATGTTATTTGATAGCTAAGAATAAGAATGCAAATAAACAAGAGTATTTTTTCCTCATCAAACTTCCGGATGACCACACACCGCAAAGTAGTAAAACTACTGACCATGTAGCAATTTAGTACTGTATGAGGTTTTCATTCTTACTGTGCGATTTTTGCTTTGTGTTCGTTATGAATTTATTGTATATTAGCATAAATATCATCAGGTGATGAAATTAGTGGATGTTTGTTTATTCGAAGACAACGACGAAAATAATACTGATGACTGTGTTTCGACAATGAACTACTCGATCTGGAAGGACATTATGAGCTAGTTAAAGATATAGTTCAAGATATGCCTAATGCAAATGCTGTCCTTAGAAATCGAAAAGTGATGCAGAAATGTGGTTTGCACAAAGCATGAATTCACTGTATAAGTGTACATAATGTGATCAAGGAGAAAACTGAACGGACAAGTTTTGCAGTTCGTAACGTTGACACCATTCAATAGGCCTTTTACTGCTGTTCTAGCGGAATATTCTCAAGGAATTTTTAAAATGAACGAATAAAGAAGGTTATGAAGTGTTGAGGGGAGAATGGACACCAGTGAATGCTGCAAAAATCATGTTACACATCTTAGTAATGATACAGTTGTAGCCGGGCTTGAGAGATGCGGTTCGTCTCCGATGCTATAAATTGCTGTAAGTCACGCACTGTACCGAAGTGACAATTTTCCTTTCATCTAGTCGAGAACGGGAAAAAGAATGAAGATACAAAATCTGAAGTCTGTGACTGCAAATCCATGAAGTTATGGTAGATTTAACGTTGCCGTCAGGCCTCTCAGGCCCGTTCGTTATGCGAGAGTTAATGATATTTTTCAACCTCATTTTCGACGGAGGTCCTATTCTATTATTTGAGTTTGAGTACATCAACAACGTTGAAAGGCGAGTTACCTGAATCCACTCAAAAGTTTTGATGAAGATGAAAACATTAAAAGACGCTAACGTAAGTGCTATTATAACATGAAAGATACCAACTTCACACTAACTTTCTTCGAAGTGAGCCCTTCTGTTGCTGTCTAGAGCGAGAGAGTCATACTTTAGGACAGTGTTCAAATCATTTTTCGCTTATCTCGTTTGAAATCCCTTTGAACTTGTCACCCTGTGATCGATTTCTCGTCTGGTTTTATTGGCAATAAATACATAAATTCTGGTATAAGTACCTCTCGCCTATTTATGACGACATATGACATCAACACTGTCATTTATGCAAAGAAACAATTGGTTCATACATAAAAGTAGAAATAGCAACGTGAATCCGAAGCCCGGGCTGTGTCTATGCAAGCCTCATTCATTGCCTTATGTAGTAGATAAGTAAGGTTCAACCATATCCACTTGTAATATAAACGAACGTGAACTGAAGATCATAATTAAAGCCTCACTGGGCCTTTAGAATTGACGCTTTTATTCTGTTGCATCAACAGTTAGCGAACGATTCGAAAAAGCTTTTCAATTTCGGTGAATAATTTTGTGGAAAGAGTTGTGATCGTTTCGCGAAACTCTGTGATAGTCCGCTTTCAACAAGAATATTTTGTGCAGAAGTCATCTCTCACTATATATCATCACGTTCTTTAAAGCCCTATTCAAAATGCACTTTGTTTATTTATTCATTTCTGTCACTAAAATCACTTTTCTGTTGACGAATAAAATTACGTTATACCAACCAATGAGTTCCGTCAACATTTCCTTCAACGAGCCAATCATCACTCCAAAGGCCTTTCAATAAGGCACATTTACAATTCTAACCTCGAGTAGACGACATGCATACACGCATGCGCTTCATGGCCAATGAAAGGGCACTCTCAAATCGATTCTGATTGCTATTCCAAAAACTACAATTTCATGGCAAATGTTCCCTCTTATTGCTGGATTGCAAATCTAGACTCTGTGTTGAACGCACTAATAAAACTAGGCAAATAAATCCTCACCCATCTCCTCCTCGGCGATTTTCTAAAAATTATTACTGATCATAACACTTTTGCGTCTTCTTTCTCTTGTTCGCCTTTAGATGAATCTGCGTCTCTCTTCTCTCTCCGAAGATATCCATACTTTCATCGGAGAAAAATTTCTGTTCATGTCATCTTGTAATTGAGGTCAATTTAGACCTTATACTTTTTGTTTTGAATTAGGTTTTGATTTGTCTGATAAGCTAGCTGCACACATCCGTGAGATTATTTCGGCTCGCTATACACGATATTACTCTTACAGCGAACAACATAGGAACGATGTAACATGCCAGCTAGCGATCGAGAGCAAGATGGGACGTTAAATTTTGTGTTTGATGGTAATTGATTTTACTGTTCATTTTATCTGCCAATTTATTTGTCAATAAAAATAGTAATGAAGCGAATTCTTTTTCTGCATACGTAAGCAGTTTCGATGGACGTTTATATTGACGTTCTGAGAGCATGTATGTTTTAAATTTATTGATCTTGTGTTTTATTGTTGTTGATGGAAAGTAAATATACATAATTAAATTGTAATTAGCGTTGGAATGGTTGTATACGTTTAGTTGCTGCTGATGATTTCGTTTACGAAATAAATTATTTTTGTGAAGTATATACGTGTATTATTTTCGCCAGATTGAGTTGTTTTTCTCCACTATCATAAACGTATACATAAGAATTTTCTCAAACGGTCATGATACTTCGATAATGATATGTGACAGAAATCACGTCATAGAATGGTTTTGTCGGCAACAACCGACATTTTTTGATCGTTAATCTTTATTTGCATAACATCTTGACGATGTATTGGGAGCAGGTTGTTGCCGAATTGACTTTTTCTGCGTGATATAGAGTCGTTAGGAAAGATGTGTGATCAAACTGGGAACTGGCTTGGGCAGAAAACAAACCGAAAACGGACGAGATGGACTTTTAAAAAACTATCCGCGTCTCCTTTATCAACTTTCATGCCATATCTACTTTTCGAGCAGAATTCCTTTCGTATACTCTCACTTTCAACGGAAGCTATCTGCTCATTTCAGAACTCACCTGCTTATCTAGTTACGCTATCACAGTGATTTCGTTTTATTTTGAAAGAACGGTTGCCGAACAACTGATATGAATGATGCTAGTCGATGGTAACTATTAATTATATTTTTAAAAGAATTCAATCTTTGATCATCTTTATAATGCATCACACAACAGCTTTCATTTGATTTGGATTGGAACTGGTCTTGAGGTCTCCGACATTGAATGACTGCGAATATTACCAGTTTCAGTGAATGTTTTGAACGGTTTTAAAATTATTTCCAAATTGAAATATTTCTACCTATAAATAATTCATTAGTGTTATAAATTTCCATCTCTGTGACAGTGTTGCTTTGTTTCAGCACCTCAAATCGTAGAACAAATGACAGTCAGTGTAAGTTGATGATGGCTGACTCTCAGCCACCGCGTAAGTCATCGTTGAGTATACATGACGCCAGGATTGCTGGTCTGTACGATCTTGAAGAGACGATTGGTAGAGGTCATTTTGCAGTCGTTAAGCTTGCCAGTCATGTTTTCACGGGTGAAAAGGTTTGTTGTGGATGTACGAATTCAAAAAAGCACTTTATCCGTTTATTTGATAATGAATAATTAATTCAATGAAACCCTTCAAACAAAGCCGATTCTGTTTTAGTTCGCATTTGTTTAATTATTCTGCAAAAACGCTATTCCGTTTTACTTGGCACAAGACGACTTTCAGAATATACATTTCCGTTTAAGGTGGCCGTGAAAGTAATCGATAAAACCAAATTTGATGCTAAAATGGCATCTCACTTCATGCAGGAGGTGAGCTTTTGATTCTGTTTGAGGGGTTCTTTATTCATTTTCCTTCTTAACTGACATCTTGGGGGGTTATTGCCTCGCATCTGTGAGTGTTCATTACTCAAGAAGTACGTATTTTGACAGTGAGTTATCTTCATTACTGGATTGCTGAAAATAAATTTCTGATCTTTAACTTCGAGTGTGAGCCGCCATTTTTCTTCGTTGATATATTTGTTGATCAGTGATTGATTACCGTTGTTAATTTTTTATTTTGGCCCTTGAAATTATGCAATTACAAAGTTAACAGAGAAATGTAGTGCAGAAACGTTTTTGTTATTGTTGCAAATTAAATAATTCGGATATTACGACAAAAAGGTTCGGTGTATGAAACTGGTTCAACATCCAAATATTGTCCGTCTCTACGAAGTAATCGATACAAATACAAAGTTATTTCTTATTCTCGAATTGGGCGATTATGATATGTATGATTTCATTATGAAGAATGCTGACAAGGTTAGTTGATAATAAAATGTGACGATTCTCTTATTCACACTACTCTTTTTGTTGTTGAATGTTCCATTTCTGCATTCATAGGATTGTTCAGTATGTCATATTTCGCTGAACTGAATAGTAACTGGTGATGTAATATCTACACTCCAGCAAATAATCATCACTATATGGAAAAGTGCTCGAACAAAAATTTCGCTGACACGATTCACTTACAGGGTTGTCCAGAAAATGAGGCACAGCAATATTTTTGCCAAATTATCAAGGCGATTGACTACTGTCATAAATTACATGTGGTACACCGTGATCTCAAGGCTAGTTGCATTCATTTCAGTAAGAATCAACCTGTTCCATTCAGGTCAAAAGAAAACATTAACTGTTACTGTTGCATTCAAAACAAGCGAAAAGAAATGAACAAATGCATTTTGCACTGATCGATTATCATTAGTTTTTTCTCCATTTCAGCCAGAAAATGTTGTTTTTTTCGAAAAGCTCGGAATGGTGAAGTTGACCGATTTTGGCTTCAGTAACAAATTCACTCCTGGAGAGCAGTTGGCAACATCGTGTGGTAGTTTAGCGTACTCGGCTCCGGAAATTCTCCTTGGAGATGCTTATGACGCTCCGGCTGTGGGTACGGCCTTTTCTGTAAATGTGCACCTTAGTGCCTGAATGAACTTGCGAGTCAGTTGACTTACTGCAAACTGCAATTTATGTAGATGTCATTGGTTGATATGATTGTAATGATTGTAATGCTGTGCAGATGTTTGGTCATTGGGTGTTATTCTGTACATGCTGCTCTGTGGTCGGTTGCCCTTCCAGGAAGCAAACGATTCAGAAACATTGACAAAAATTCTCGATTGTAAATATTCTTTGCCTGAAACACTCTCCGCTCGTGCACGAAAGTAAGTGAATTTCACTGCGTCACTATATCAATGCATCGACGAATATGCATGATTTAATATCATGATATTTAATATGTAGGTATCATAATTTCAGAGAATGCTCTTTTTTTGTGAACTGAAATGGGGAGAAGAGCTTTTGATTATCATGCTCCTTCGCAGTTCTAAATTAGATAAATATTGAAATTATTTCTTAAATGGTTCAAAAGAAGCGTCTTAAGATAATGAGATTCCCACAGACTAAGTCGTATCAACAATATTTTCAGTTTGATCTCTCGGATGCTCGTTAAGGATGCATCAAAGCGTGCCACATTACAAGAATTAGTGGAAAATCATTGGGTTGCTGCAGGTGAAAGGGGCTTAGCGCAGGTCTTACCACTGGTGGGTCGAGATATTCTGCCTGAGAGTGCACATGCCACGATTGTCGAACAAATGGTCGCTGGTGGAGTGGATACTGAGGAACACATTCTCAGGTATTTTCACATTAACACTGCAGTTGCTGAGGCAGACTTTGGAATTTGATAAATGATGGAGGATTATTCTAAGGTCATTAGAGAACGACGATTATTCGTACACAACAGCAACATATTATTTATTGGCCGAACGAGTTTTATCGTCGTATCGAGAAGAGCGTGCTAGAGAAGTTCTGTCATGCAAAAGCAATGCTTTCAACGATCTCACTGCAGAAGCAGATTCTGTGAATTCCACTGATGATGTTCTTGCCACTTTTGAAACCAAGTTCGTTTCCGTATTCTTCTCTAGACACTTTTCATTACATTATGATATCGTTTCAGATTCTTGATTTTGCAATTCGTTTTCAATTTATAAGGTATTCTTTATCAACCCGTCAATGACCGTGCTATACTTTGATCAAAATTATTTACTTCATTTCAATAGTACGTACGCTCTTCTTATGTGTAAAAATGATAATCTTAAGTCTTAAGAGTATGCTCTTCTTGCTCATATCCTAATTTTATTTTTCGAATTTCTTTCTATTGCTTAATATAGAGGAAGGGTTTTTTTTGGGCGAGGGGGGGGGGGGTTTGCTTGATTTTACTATCGTTTTCCAATAATAGCAATGAGATCTCGAAAACAGTAGTAGTAATTGAAAAATTTGATGTCCTTATTAGAAACATCGATAAGTGTCGCTCTCATTTTGAATGAGTGATAAACTGCTGAGAATGAGTAAAGTGGGTGGTTGATTGAGTAGATAAAGAGAAGAAAGAAGAAATGTGAATTATTCGGAATTCATGTTGTTTTAAAGTTGTTGAACTGGTAGTGTTTTGAGTGGGAGGGAGGGAGTTTGTTGGGTGTTGGATGAGCACGAGTGAAATGTATTCGTAATGATAAAATTGTGCAGTGAACAAGCGTCAAATATCGCTGGAGCAAATACAACAACAGTGCCGTCGACAGCCGCAATATCGACACGGTGCAGAAGTCGTTCGAATTCCTGGAGAGGCTCCACATCAACTGCTCGACGGTTGTGCACTATTCTGAAAGAAGAAAGTGAAGAAGAATTGTCCACTTATCTTCGTACTTCATCGCGGCAATCATCCAGGTTTATCGCTACAAATGGTTTTTTCACTCTCCTAGTCATGCTCGATTGTCGAAGTTTTTGTTACAGTTGTAACGTTTATTCGTTACTGTTTAGCTAGCTGTTCGTTCACTAAATTTCTTACCGCATCCAATGCAAATGAGAGCTGTTATGACGTCGATTGAAAAAGTCGATTTATGCTTGGAAATGTATTGTCGATAAACATATCTAGTTGTTTAATTTTTTGTGTTTTGGTCCTTTGCACTAACTCAGTTATTTGGTAGTTGGTAGACACGTTTTGTGAGCCTAGTTCGTCTTTTTGGTGTCACTGTCTTCATTCAGCGAATCTAGTCCCATACTTTCTCTTATAGAATAAGTCACCTCTGTTGTTCTATTTTTATTCGATGATATTGTGGAGAAGTGTAGTTCCCAAAGATGTGTTTTTCGTAGGCAGAAGTGCAGCTACACATAAAATAAATTAAAATTGCTCGATTCGGAAGAGTGCTTCATCGATCAGAAGCACTTATATTCTTTTGTTTAAAACCGCTCTCGTCATCTATCAAGTTAACGAAGATCGTCATCGGCCGTTCAAACATTTCTTGGAATAGATGTAGTACTCACTTTGAGAAGCACTGCACATAATGATCGGACGTCTATACGTGGTGTTGACATAATCTGAAGAAATATTTTCATTATGGATAATGTAGCGTTACAGTTCTGTTATAATTAGTTTACGATGGATTGAGATGGGAATGTGAGAGGTGTTACCTAAATGATAGTATAGATGCAGTATTACTGTTTTGACAAAATGAACATGCCACGGAATGTATGTTTGGCTAAACGGTAGTGGAATTAAGTGGATATTTGATTGCATACCCTATCGGGATTGTTTGGAGAAATGTTGAACTCACTTGATCATGATTCATTTTTCATCTGGTCTTGTTGAATTCACTGATGCTTTATCACTTTTGTTGTGTCGTTTCTCATGTATCGTCTCATTTCAACTGTTCAGTTCTGCAGTAAGTGATCGTTGATCATCTGTTATCAATAGCAGTGCAGATGATAATACGGAAGAAGTTGATAACAATTGAATGTGTAATAGAATGTTGGCACCTGTTTGATTGAACCTCACCTAGATATGATCATCGACAAAATTCAAATGGCATGAATAGTGAAACAAACGCGTTGGATGAATCACTTCGTTCTCAATCTCAGCGACAGAACGTGACCGTTGATACAAATGTTATGATCACAAATCAAAATGAACATCCACTAGTGAATATAACTGATGATGCAGCAGTAAAAGGCAATCATATACGTTTATCAGAGAATCGCAGTACAATTCCTATCACTATGAATACAAACATCATCAATGAAATCCCACCAATCCATCAACTGCAGTCATCTTCTTTTCCACTTTCATTTGATTACATTTCTGAGAATGCATCAATCGAAGCGTCACTTTCATCCTCGAAAGCCAGAAGTCTGGAGCAATACAAAAAGACAACGAATGCTGCTTATGAGATAGAACATTTGGAAATGCCGAGGAAAATTTCGTTGTCGCATCGTAAACTGCAATCTACGTTAATAGCCAATAATAATGAGGATTCAGCGCAAACAGTGCTATCCAAAGAAGCTGTACATTCAGCGCGATCACGTGCCAACTCGGCACCGACACAGTTTATATTCGATAATCCATTGCTACGTTCAACACGTGCAATCGAAATGCTTTGGCGAATCAATCGATCGTTGTTGTCTAGGAGGCATGTTCTGTTCTGCATTTTAATTCATGTCTTAGCAGTGGCGTACCTAAGGGAGGAGGGAGGGGGGGGG